CACTCGAAGCAGATTCGTAGGACAACAAGAGGCCAACATGAACGTCGACCAGGCAGTAAATGCTAATCAACATACGGCGCCAAATCGAGCTGGACAATTGTCACCGACACGTATGTGTGCTCGCAAACTAGCTGCCCCCCCCAATTTATATTTGTTTGATCCGACGCATCGGACCATGACCAGCCACTCTCTTAGCACAACAACACGACAATAATGAGCCTCTATGTAGGGCCCCACCCTGTTAGACTTTCGAGTCTAAGTCGACCCATCTCCGGGTCTCAGTTGGCTCGGCTCCGCCCACACTCATGCTCAGAGTACAGAGCCATTCGTCACAGGGTCACCCCCACCTAGTGCTTTGAGATGAATGGGGGTGGGCCATTTGAGCGAGGGAGCTTTGAAATTGGGGATGTAGCTCAACTTTCTCGCTTGGAGGGGCAAGTTTTGCCAATCACTCACAAGAGTCTATTTTTTGATACTTTGTCGTGTTCGGCAATTGCTCGTTCTAATACTCAGGCAGTCGAGGGGTCCTTTGATAACTCTTTTTTCGATTATGCGTAGCCCAAGCATCATCCTTGGGCCACACATTCATTCGCTAACGCAATAGTCCTATAGCTTCATTGAGGTAGGAGACGTCTCCTTTCCCTCTTGGTCGGTCTTCGTATTGACACTCATTGTCTCACATATCATGCATCATATTCGTTGCTTCCCTAACCACCCCTTAGTCTTTTCGGGGTTCCCACCCGCATACTAATGGGACTTGGCGGTCGTCTCGACCGTCCGACACTTCAGCAAACCTCAACCATTCACAATATCCTTTTTTTTTTCCTTTTCATCCATACTCGGGCTGCATGAACAAAATGTCTCATTCATGGGCAAAGGTTACATTCACAATTGCTTACCTTTTGTCTCTCTTTTCCTTTTGCCACCCGACATATCCGGACTCAGTCCAACTTAATACATTTTCAAGCTACTCACCTGCACACTCAACACTATGCAAACAGATACAACCCCCATTTGGGGTCAAAAAATAATCCCTCCCACATGCCTAATTCTCTTTGGCCTTACGTTCCTACCCTTCTTATTTTCTTCCTTCATCCAAGTCATCCTCTTCTCTTAGTCATGCAGTCGGGGTTCTGGTTCAGCCAACTCACCTTTTTTTCACTTGACGATTCTCTCTCATCCCTTTTGGACTTCGCAATCCTCAAACACTTTGCGCTCACAGCCTTTTGCCATCCTCCAGTACCTTTCCTTTCTCTTTCTTCTTGGTGGCATAAGGGACTGACAACCCTCCCCTTGCCCTCTTCTTCCACCAAGTGAGATAAAAGTTCTTTCACCTTTCGTACCTTGGCAATGTAAGAAGTGATAAGGGGAAGGGTTAGTTGCATGCCAAGGGGAGAGAGGGTAAGGGTTGACCTTGGGGTTGGAAGAGGAGGATGGGAGAGGTTGGCGATAAAAAAGGAGGAAGAGAG